GAAAGTCGATCTTAACCACTAAAACATGTACAATTACTCTGAACACCTTAGTTTAAGTCAAAATATAGCTGTAACAAATTATCAGGTCCCTGTGTATGTTTCCATCAAAAATAGCATCACAAGTTCACGGCGAAAGCAGAAGAAGAAGAAGAAGAAGAAGAAGAAGAAGAAGAAGAAGAAGAAGAAGAAGGGGGAGAAGAAGTACTACAAAAGTACCCCACACTGCTCCCATAGTCGCAATGATGCAAAAATACACCTACATACCAAATGAATAAACCGACCAATATCTAATTTCGACCAATAAGAGGCTGTGGAAGCCATGTTTGATGACTGATAGGGAAATTAAAGGTCATTTGCACACCCCCATGATGCACATTTTTGTAAAGTTTCATTAATTATTGTCAAAATTTCTTTGAGAAAAGTGTCGGAAACTTTTACGGCGGAAGAATAAGAAGCAGAAGAGGAAGAAGAATAATAATAACTAGATTTGGTCAAGATCAAAACACGGGATTTCCATCAGGAAAATGATCTAAGATATGTTCTCGGACTGACGATCGCTTTTATACGTTTCCCTTCACTTCCCTTCTCTGACAAACCTTGTACCTTATTCATACTATAGGGTCAAGTTATTTCTGAATGGTCAGCATTGATAGAAAGGCGTTTAGCGTTTATTTCTTCCCTTCCCCCTCCCCCACCCCTTAATGGGACTTTATCCTGAAATAGTTGTGAATGACAGCTGTGCTATTTGGACAACGCCACACGAACCCCAGTACATGTAATGATGGTACCACAGGTAATGGTGATTGACAGCTCTGTTATTTTGACCAACGCCAAGGACGGACAGTGACTTGACCTTGAACTTGACATATTCTCTGATAACATGGCATGGGAAAAGGTTAGCCCCGACCAAGATCTATAACAAGAGTACCGCGGGGCAGAATATATACGCCCGTTGAATGCCATATAGTGTTACAGTTGGGTGTGACCGCCCAACGCACCATAAATAGCATGCGCACACGATGCATGCACCGTTCACGCACCGTCCGCAATTCGTTCACAAATGGTGCGCACAACTGTGCGATTTAACATTCGTTCGTCCCATTGTGCGCTTCTCTCCGCACAACTGTGCGATTTGGTAAACTTTGTAGATCAAAATTACGGAATGAAAACAAATACGAAAAGCTCGTATGCAATAATGAAAACTGTTTGCATTACTGTAATTTCTCATCACAGTAATAAAGATTATGTACAGTTTTACAATGCGTGTAACACAGCATTACAGTGATCGTTGAATGGGTTTGGCTCCAAGGTAACAGAACAGGTAAATAACAATTTGATGAGGGACCGAAGTTTTACCTGGTCTGCACCTGACACGTTTAGTATTTGTTATTTGCATTCGGTTTGTCTATAGCTTCCCTTCACCTGGATTTTCACACCCCTAGCCCTATCAGACGAAATACGTAAGCGCCCCGGGCGGGGGAAAACTACGGTCCAGGTACAAAATGGCTATGCTTACCTGTATACGAGACTGTGTTGTAATTTGTGTCGATAAGGTCGTTTAAATATACCGAAAACACAATTTCTCATTTAGGAAAGTATAGACATAAAGATAAGCTTATAGATGTAGATATAATATAGAAACATACATAAAAATCAAGTGTATATGTTTAAACACGAAACAGTATATATTGTTAGGCATTCCTCAATTTACACCAACCACGATTGTTATCGCACAACGTTCGCTCTTCGTGCACAAAAATATGCGCAAGGAATGATCGTCTAACTTTGTATCGTTCGCACATCGTACACACATCATTCATACACCGTGCATCGTGTAACGTTGTGCGATCCCACAACTGTATATACTTTCTTATATTGAAAAAAAGATCTGCATCATTCTAAGAGTGGTTAGCCAACATGCTATAAAAAATGTAGGAGAAAAACTCCGGACAAAAAAATCAAATACTGAAATGAACAAAGGGCAATAACTTTTGCAAACATCGTCGAATCGAAATTCGGTAATGGGAGACACAACTTCATATCATGATTATAATGTATACTAAGTTGCATAGAGATCCGTTGAAAAATGTAGGAAATTGCCGGAACAAAATCAAATACTGAAATAAACAAACTTTGGTAAAAAGTGTCGAATCAAAATTCGTTTTAAGGGAGACACAACTTCATATTATGATTATAATGTATACCAAGTTTCAAAGAGATCCGTTGAAAAATGTAGGAAATTGCCGGACAAAAACCAAATACTGAAATAAACAAAGAGCAATAACTCGTGGACATATTGTCGAATCAAAATTCTGTAAAAGGAGACACAACTTCATATCATGATTATAATGCATACCAAGTTTCAAAGAGGTCGGTAGAAAAATGTAGGAGGAGAATGCCGGACAAACAAAAGTTTACGCCGGACGGACGGACACTCTGAGTCCAGTATACCCCAAAACTTTGTTGCGGGGGTATAATAAAGTGTATAATAGTTTTACTATTAAGATTATTTAATTATTTTTATATACTTGCATATCTTTGTCTATAACACAATCTCAGCCTTAAGTAGTTCTCCAAAGGAAAAAAAATACTTTGGCAGTATACATATTTTTGAGTTATTACTGCTGCACATAACTTAAAATCATGCGTAATATAATATAGTGTTTTTATATGATACAAAAACAGAAAATGTATCGGTATTTACCATAATAAACATTTATAATCAAATCTCCATGATTATGTGAAATAGGGCATTGATCATGTTTAGCATGCTAAAAAAATACTTTACCGGTTTTGTTATTAAATTAAAATTATTCTGTAGACAGAATATATGGATGGTAATTGTGTAAAGAAGTTTAATATATAGACTACCATTGTAACTATACATAGGCAAGTTGACAATGTTGGTTATATTTTAAAGTTTGTGAACATTTTGCATGTTTTCCTAATTAAAAGTATTACTACGCTTACTTCATGGATACCAATATGGCATACCTAGTATCAAAATAACAGGAATTGTATACACTGTACACTATCATAATGCATGTTCAAAATAACATTCGCCTGTGACATTAATCTGTCATTTTGTTAGGATACCCCCGTCACTCAACCTGGTATTATGCAAGGAGGTCCACTACGGTTATCAGTAGTAATCATGAATAATCAATTATGCAGCTGTTGATCATTTGTATGTATCTACATTTGGCAAAAGAATAAAAGAAATCAAAGTGGGGTCCAAATGTTGACCCCGCCCTTTAATCTGTTTGATCATTTGACCCCCGTGGACTTGAAAGTAGGTCAAGGTCAATGATTTTTAGTAGTCAAGCATACATGCTATAAATATGCCAAATATTTACTCGTATGTGTCATGGTTATGGAGAAAAAGAGTTTTAAGTACACAAGTTTCAAAATTTTGAATTTGGCGGGAACATTTTTCAAAGTGGCATATCTTTGACATTTTTCATGCAATGACCTTGAAACTTTCCACATACCTTCATTAGACCGTGTTCTTAAATATTTGATGAATAATGAACCATTTTAGAGATTTTCATTTTTGACCTTTATTTTACCCGATACCGAGGCCTTGAACTGGACATATTCTCTGATGACATGTCTTGAAAAAAGTTAGCCCCGATCAGATCTACATGAAATATTAAGCGTGCATGAAGTACAACAAACGCTTTTGAAGTTATGGTCGTTCGAAAAAACGTTTTAAAAAACTCTTTTTATAGATCTGTGACCTTGACCTTTAAAGTAATGCTCGTGATTTTGCTCGGATGTCATGAGATCGTTGTCCTTTATAATGTTGTGAAATATGAACGGTACAACTATCCGAAATAGAAACCCCTAATAATAAGAATAAGAAAAAAACATAACGAAAACAATAGGGACTTCAATCCGAAATGGAAATCCCTAATAACAAGTACTAATTGTAATGGGGGACCATAATAGAAGTCCCGAAACCCCTGCAGTTATGTACGCAGTGCTCAAATACACCTACACACAAAATTTGAGTGAAATCAAAGAATATCTAAATTCCGACCTATCAGAACCCTGCATAAGTAGCCACTTAACGGAGTAAAACTAATAAGTCCCTCACTTCGTTAGGGGAGTTAATAATAATAAGAAGAAACAGAGCAAACACAATAAGTCCCCCCAAACTCCATATAGGTTCATAATGAACAGCGATCAGTTCTAATTGAATTTGTTTAAAGACCAACGCAATTGCTCACCCAATGTTCAAGATACTGGAGCTTGTGCAAGTCTACGTATTGACGTAATGTAAAAAAATAAAGTCCGTCACTGAAGGACCATCATGCAACATAATGGTGTACGTTGATAGTTCAATATATCAAAATTGTGCAGAATCAAAACACAAAAACATGTTGATGAATTTATTAGTTTCAATATATAATTCTCTGACGCGTAATCGCCGAAGAACAATGTTTAGACGCGCTGCGCTGGCTCAGCTGAGAGTCATCACTATCTAGAAGTGGAGAGTCGCTAATTTTGAAGTTCTACATATTCTTGAATGTGAAGCTGCTGTTATTGAATGTCGAATTAAACAGGAAATCTGACGTAGCTTGAAAGGGCAAAACGATTCGATATGCTAGTCGGCTGTTCGACTGCATTTAACATATGACGTGACGATGTTTGATCCACGTTGTTTTTGTACCGGGGATGACACTGACACAAAAAGCAGAATGGGTAACTGGAGGGAGAATTTACAGGGCAGTAAATATGACTTGTCACTACCTGTGATAATATTTTGCTGATTAATCGTTCTTGGTCGCTTGAACGATTTCTTTTGTCGCTTCAATATAAATGTAAAATATCATACAAGTGGTATCTTCTTTGTTTACAAGTTGTGCTTAAAATATTAACTAATGTATTTCATTTTAGGTAAAATAACACTAAACCTCATTTCTCTGATGTTATGATGGGTATTGAACAGGAATTGTGATATACAAATCATCAACAATTGATGGACATTAACTCACCTGCCACATTTAGAGTGTATTTTTGACTGTCCAGTTCTTGGTCAGTCAGGTTAAGGTTGGTACGTGTACAGAACCACACTGATCCATGATCTCCCGTCCGTGGCTGTATGACCCACCGGAACACTGTACCACGTCCTCCAGCCGACGTGGTAACACAGGAACAGACATCCAGTGTACAGTTGACGGGCGGGTTGACGTTGATGTTGAAACATTGACTAACACCTACTTGTATACCTCCTACTGGAGCAGACACGTTAGGACGGCGGTAAAACCTAACAGCATTGGCCTCGTCTGTTACGTCACACGTCAGAGTAAAGTCACTCCCGGGAACAGCGTACTCAGACGACCCAGTCAGTGTCACAGCATCTGTCATGATAATGTGAAAAGCAAGAAATGTAAAACATTAACAAATTGATTTTATTTTGCCGGTTAAAACAGACAAAATATTCAAACTTGAATATACATTGCATGATAATATGCATCCTCCAAAATACTTATTGTTTTGGTTTGTTTTCAAAATTAGGTGTCGCTGTTTAAAGACTTATTAGATTTTTTAATTGACTTCATTTTAATACTTGTTCAAAGGTAGGCCTGTAGCAGGTCAGATTATTCAGTCGATATCATTGTACATCATTATGGCAATTGAATAGTATCGAAACTGTGGTGTGTGATTCCTCAATGTTTGTGAATATGTGACTTGTTTTAATTACATTCAGGTATTGAAATGTGACCGACAGTTGGATAATCTAACAAGTCATCATTGTCTTTCACATCTATGTACTTTTATGCAAAAGTTGTTATTATTTTAGTCTGAAATTATTAATTTGTTTATTTTATTTGCGCTTTGTAACAACGATTGCTTTTGAAATTTTAAAGTGTTATTAATTATCGTCGGGGTGTCGGAAGTCTTCATAATTGTTGTCGGTGTCAAAATGATGACACGGAAAAGTGTGTGTTGTTCCAACGGATCATGATGGATTCGGCACAACAAACCTCTGCGGTCAGATAAAGCAAAAATTAATAAATAATGTCAATCCTATTCAAATTAGACATACACGAAAGTATAGCCGTTAAAATAAAAGTAGTTCAAACAAACCAAGTCGATTTCGGCAAAAATCAGTCAAGTCTTTGATTCGGGACAACGACGGCCTATTACAATATATTCGCAAATCTGGTAATGAATAATGGTACAATTATCTTTCTTGTACCTTCTTACCTATTAATAATCAATCATCAAGTTCAATTTGCACTGACCGCAAAGCAGTTTTTCGAGCATTGATGAAAGTACGATATTGTAATGTATCAGGATGCGGAGTGTGGATTGAATCTGCAGTTACGGACTAACGAGTTCGACCGACTGCCTGATCAAACCTGTTTACTTTGAAACATCTATAGGTAACATATCAATTAAGTACTAAAGCAGATATTGGTGCCCAGTTCGCAACTTTATACTCAAAATGTAAACAGTAATATCGACACATGTCCAGTCTATCAGCGATGCGACGGCAAAGTTTCGCGCTCCGTACTGGTCGGGACAGAAACAAAGTGATTGGCGTGTGTACATGTTAACAAGGGAGAAACTCAATCATCGCTAACATGTAGAATGTTTATGTATTATGGTCTGTCATAGATTGCACATCATGACTACAACCTGTTACTCAATTATTAAATGCTGTCGATTTACAAATAAATCAATTTGAGCAGATTTCGCGAGGCTATTTGCATTGCCGATACATGAAGCCAAAATCGATCAATAATTCCATTGTTTCAGCACTCTCTTGTTTTCGAATAATCCAAAATGTGAATAAAGAGGTTTCAAATTATCGCTAGACCGCAAATTATTGCTTTTATTGTTCAAAAGTTTGTTCGAATTATCTGCCTATCCGGACTGACCGTAACTGATAAACACAATTGGTACAATCCACGTCTAGTAATACTAAGTGAGATTGATTTTGACGCACATTCCATTCTTATTGATTTTAGTGTAATAGTATTCAAGGACTTGAGCAAGTCTAATACGTGTTGGTAATATTACGTAAATTAGTACGCACACTTTTCTTATCTTACCTATATATATATATGATCATCGGGGTGTCATTTTTACCGAACGTCGATCTAAACCCCTAAAACATATAAAATTACTCTGAACACCTTAGTTTAGGTCCAAATATAGCTGTAACAAATTCGCAGGTCCCTGTGTTTGTATGTAAATACAAGATCGTGTACTAGTGTACTGAAGTACGACGATACCTGTTTTACACAACACATCATGTCGGGACAGTATCACACACCATTCACTGAAACCAAAAAAATATGTTATAACAAAGAAGCCATTTGAAGTGATTACCTCCACTTCGAATTAAAATATACAACAAACACATTCTATCAAACACCAACCGAACGACAATTGACAAAACCGCATTACAAGTGTATATGTATAACTCAACAATACATTAGTGTTAACATATATATGCATACCTGCCGATGATATGATTGTCAGTAATATGAACAACATGTTGACAAACGTTCAGGGCGTCTTAATCAACCAGATTGCTGCATTATTTAGAATCAAATAATATTCTGTGTTAATATATAAACATGTCTATTCCCCGTCATTACTTCCTGGTCAAACTATCGTGTATAACGAGGAGTTGTCTGTATGCATGTGTACACATTTACCTTGTACTTGTACACTATTAAAGCGTTTGGTATGCATGTGTTTTATAGTCATATAATCCAAAATTTGATTTCAACACTGGGCATAAGGTGACACTACAAAAAATGGATCACTAAAGTTTATGGTTGCATCAAAAAAAAGAATATCGATGGGTGTTCCACAACGAAATAAACACACGGGGCTCACGTGAGATTTTTATGGAACACTCTTACATTAACAATTAGCGTTTCCGTTTTTTGGGTGTTTTTTTTCCGCAATGTCAGTACCCAAAATAGATCACGGCTTGGATTTGCAATATTTTGCGCTTCAAATGAACATTTCTCTAGCAACATTCTATGACGATCTTTGAAAATTTTATGAAAACAAGTATTTCTTTTTTGTGATTGTATTTCTACAGCCCGAAACAAAATACACACTCATCGCACGCGCCATTTATAACAGCGTAAACAAAACACAAATTTTGAATTTGAAAGACATCTTCTGATGTTATTTGAGCTTAAAAATGAATCATCTGTTGACTAAAAATGATGCATAACTATGTATGTTAAGGATGAATTACAGTACATACGGTGCATATAGCGAGGCTGAGACTACAAACAACCAATTTCCGAGGGATGCGGAGTTGGAATTACGACACAAAATGCTCATTCCATGCCATACAAATTAAAGGTCTTTCATACTTTTTTATCCATGAAACAAAAATCGTCACAACTCGAGCTAATGTACTTTCTGTAGGAATACAATCACATAATAGAAATACTTGTTTTCAAACAAACAAAAAAACATGTGAAGATGTTTCGAGATCCCCAAAATGACGTTGCACTGTTACGTCATATTACTACACTTAATTTATGATGAATACACAAAGTTCGTAATTGAATGTATCTTGGCTTTCCTTCCATATGATAGTGATTTCGAATTGAAGGGATTGAATCTGGGTTTTTCGTGTTCAAAATACTTACACATATCGCTCCGGTCGCTCATATGGTGTGCAAGTAATTTTCCCCGCTCATACTTGCATTGCGACGCTTGTTGTCACTTGAAGATGCTTGTTGTCGGTTGAAGGTGCTTTTAAGTGTACGGTCCGACTTTCCTTGCAGATATATATATATATATATATATATAATACAGATACCTTGTACGTAAACAATATACCGTTGTTATTTACTACTGTATGGTATCGGTGTTATAATCCAAGTGTATTTACATATCTGTACATATTTTCACATGCTTAAATGCAGTGTAGGCCTAGATCTGCTCTGAATTTGAAGATATCTATAAATATTCCAAAATATTCCAAAAAATATAAATGGCTGAAGGTCCACTGACACTTCAATTCGGGCTGTTCATGTGTGTGTCTGCTTCGCGACTGAGATGCAATAACGAGAGAAAAATCGTCTTGTCATATCTCGATATAGCCAAGACTGTACCCAACACCTGACACGTCCTTAAATGACCACATATGTTAATAGGACGTAAAATACAAACAAACCAAACCAAACTAAGTACCCAACACTTGAAAGGAGTCGGTGAATGTCGTGTGCTCTCCGCTGGGTGCTTTATTGTAATGATCGATGACCTTCGACGGCAGCTTGACCCGGTTAACTTCGGTCTTCGTATAAGCGACATCCACATACTTTTTATTCTACTAGCTGATGACACTCTAGTGCTCGCTGCATCCATACAGTTGTTACAAAATTGATTGAATATAGTTTACAAGTATTCGTGCCATTGGAGAACGTACATTTATAGTAACATGGCTTTCTCCGCTGGTCGTTTGAGTGTAGGATCTCGCTCAAGGAAGGTAGCTATCTATATATTTGAGATAGTGAAATGCAGTAGACAACAATAAAAAAATACGCAGTTGTAAGACTTACTCTGAATCTCAGTTTAACTATTCCAATGATTGAAACGAGTGAAAAAGGTCGGAAATCACTAAACTCATGGACAGGAATTGGTATTTATCCAAACGGACTGCATATCCCTGATTAGTGCAAAAATAGTGAAACATAGGTGGCAGAGTACAGTAGAAATGGCTTGACCTAAAAATAAAGGGCATGTCTCAGATAAACATGGAAAGCGGATTTATCCTGCACAACACACCTACACATATATAAATACATTTGTAAACTACATTTTGAATACATTTTTTTAGGAGAATGATTTCTTTTTCAAAAAGTGATTTCCCCAGATTACGGACTTGTGAAAACTATGGTTACCAAATCAAAAATGCAAAAAGACATAGTAGTAGTTTTTTCCTTAAAACCTGTCTGAAATTGAATATCACCTTTAAGCATAGGTAGTTCAACTGGAATTTTCACAATATTTACACATGTGCTGAGTACGAAAAAAGACTACATGAAAACGATTTGTAAATGGCTAAAATTGAAGTCTCAAACCCATTTGTTTTTTAAATGTGAAGCCCACATAGTCCACTTCATCATGTATATGCTAATTTTAGTGCTGATTCTATTTTTAAACTTTGATACATGTACTATAACATGGGTTATTCATTGTACAACATATCCCCCATGGCCACCGTACACTACTGTCCACTGCTTCCATAACGAGACATAATTCTTAGTGTAATAATACAACACAGACCGGAACTACAATATTCAATGTAAACAAACATGACGTCTGCAAAAAATATCGCTGGGCATTGTGAGATTTGACAATGTTATTATATTTTATGTGTGAACAAATGGGGAAATAAAAAAAAAAAATGTTACATGTACTTTTAGTACAACCCAAAAAAGGTCTGCAATATCTTACAAATTACACATCGGTTGAAAAAAACAACGGAAACAATTTTAACACTCATACAATTTATCAGAAATATCGTCTATAACACTGCCCTAATCTAACGACGACAGAATCAAACGATCTTCCCACTTATTGCTTGGATTTGCCAAACTTTTTCGGTAATGAAAAATCATCTAAAGGGAATGACACTTTAACAAATAGTAAGACATTGATTTTTAACAAATGCATTGACACGAATGAAAGCTTGTCCAAAATCGTATAATGTACGCATGATCAAAAGTTTCAGACAAGGCATATCATGTTTATGTCTAACCACAAAAACGACTCCTCACTCCGGTCATATAACAGGACCATGTCAACATCACAACAGGAAGCACTGAGTGCTGCACTCTCCTGTTTACTTTTAACTCACCCTGAGTTACAAACAGCTGTTGTTTTACGCACTGTCGCAAGATCACACACTTCAAACGATATCAGGCGTCCATCAGCAACGGTTATCTCAGGTTCTGACGACATGTCAAATAACGAGGCTGTTGAAGCATCTACCAACTGTAGCCAGGTGTCTGTGCAATCAGCAAATAAATTCACGCCTGGATTCATCGTAAATTCGAAGTTTTCTCACTGCTCATTCAACTTTAATATATAACTCCCTCGTGGAGGGCAAGGTCGAATTACGGTGTTGACTGTATTGAGAAAAGTTCTTGTAACACAACCAATAAGTGTTTCAATGTGACATTTCGATGACTAGTACAGTATGCACTCTGTCACCTTCATCAGACAAATGACCAGTGAAGCGTATTCACACAACGGTGTAAAATGTGTACGAGTTGTCAACACAATCGATGTCGATTCGGCGACGCTGTACACTAGTTGTTATATATGTACCGAAATGACTCGATTCAACTACGCTTTGTTTGATACTTGGTCATAGATGTGCGAGAGTCTTTGAGCCCCCTCATCTCGATTTAGAACTGGCCCACTGCGGCGTATCTAGAATATACGGGTTATACTTGTATATAATATAATGTCGGATACGACGTGACTAAATAATGATACGTTAGACCTTAAATAATGAAGTTGTTTTCCTTTCGGTGACCATGACTTCGACAAAGCTTACCTACACCGAGTTGGAAAAGTGAAAGAGGGATCAATGTCTTTGCAACGCAGTAACAAGAGGAACGCTTGGTGTGCGATGGGAATTCGCACGACACAATGAAAGCAAACGTATGCATACTGTACGACTTGGAATAGAAAAACAATAAATGCATTCACATTCAACTATTCAGAACAAATTGACCGTCATCTAGATACATTTAAAAATAAAATTCAAAAGATTGTAAAAATCACAAAAGCGCACATATTTAAATCATGATTAAACACAAACATTCAAAACATTATGAATTACTACAAACAATAAGTGTTAATGTAGTTAGAAACTTAATGAGACATGTACTACTTAATGGCCTAACATTATAACGATTCCTCTTGAAAACTTCATATCAATTACAGTTCGGAGCGTTATTGTCAAATTAATATCATAAGCGTCGTTGACATCCGACAACAATTAAAGAAAAACAAAGAGGTGTATTTGAAGAGTGAAAACTGAAGAGTAATATCGATCAGGTAAAAAGAAATGAGGAAAGTCAAAGCTACAACACAAAATGGATCATTTGTATAAAAGCATGGTATTTTTTCATAAAGTAAGTATATGCATTGACAGGTATAAAAAAAAGCCTTTGTGTTTTTTTTTTTATTAAAACTCAATGTCTTTTTGCCCCTTTTTCTAGACCATGCATTATATATTCATGTATACTCTCTTTCCCACTTTCACTGTCTGCATACGCTAACACTAAGTAAGTCATAATAGCCATCACACACAATAAACATTTCTCGCAAAAGCACTACGTGTACATGTAGAATATGTGTCAGATATGGAACGTGTTGAGATACTTGATAATTATGTTTTCAATAATTTTCAGAGATGTCAGCATACTTGTAAATGGACCTTCTTTTGTGTTGAGATAACTTTTCTTTAATTAACTCCTTTAATCGAAACAAGCAGTAGTTATCGGCCACACGCGCCATTTTTACAACGTAAACAAATGACTTTTTTCCCGTTTTCAATGCGTATTCCGATTCTATCTGAAGTCGAAAATTAATTATTTATAGACAAACATTATTGCATGA